TGAAGTGGGAGAAGTTTTTTTTTTTTCATTCTTAACTCTTAGGAGTAAGATAAACTTTCTTTCAAAGTAACTTATACTTAATTTCTGACCAAATATGGAGCAGTGGAATTGTAGAATTTATTAAGAAAACCACAGGGAACTCTGCCATAGCAGGGAAAGGATCTTTAAGAAATTTTGTGATGAGAAAATTATGCAAGAAATAACATGAAGTACAAGAGAGAGGCTCAGGTCTCCTAAGTACTTCATAATCCTACCTCTTTTGCTTAATATAATAGGTTATTCAATGGAGAAAGTTCTCTATATTTAGTTTACCGTGAGAATTTATCATATACAGATTTGGGGCATTCACAACTGTTCTTTCTTTATCTCCCTTCATTCCTTGATTATGTTTATTTCTGTTTTTACTTGTTGCAATGATGGGTGATATTGATGGGCTTTTGCGTCATTGACCCAGCTTTATATAATGGTAAACTTTGTTCATTCACAATGTATTAATATTTTCACACATCATTGGATTAAATTTTCATGACTTACAATAGAATATGTCATGATATGGTTGTATTTGGGAATATTTAACATTATGTAGACATCATAAAATATCACATGGATACAGTTGTACAGGTGATGTGATCCTGTGGGACCTCCATCTTATGTGTGGTCTGTTATTTCCTGGGATTTTGTTATGTATTGTATAAATGATATTTATTGAGGACTTTGTACTTATGTTTATGGGAGATATTCTTTTTTGAGACAGTGTTTCTTTGTGTAACTTTGATTGTCCTGGAACTTAGTCTGAAGACCAGGCTGGCCTTGAATTCATAGAGACCCACCTGCCTTTGCTTCCTGAATGCTGAGATTAAAGCCATGTGCCACCACCACCCAGCATCATTTTGTTTTATTATCATGTGTTAGTCTGGGTTTAGTGTTAAATGATGAAGGCCTCACATGGGTTATGTTACATGTATTACTTTTAGCACAGGAGTGCCCAGTTATCTTCTCAGACTTTCTTCTAGCATTTGGCTACATCTTTTCCAAATTGGACAGGCTGGTTGGCACCTTTTATGTACTCTCATGAAGATATTCCTAATCCTATCCTGATTTTATCAGAGGTTGGAAGATCATACCTTGATACTGTGGAAAGAAGGTCAAGGCCATGAATTCTAATAGACTCTGAATCACAGAGTTTTGAACAAGCAGGGTTGATGTAAAAGGATTCCACAGAGGATCCACTCAGCCCAGAAATTGTGGTCTTCATCACTCACTATACAATCAGAATGTATCTCAAGAAATCCAAGCTGAGAGGAAGGAGGAACCTTATTGTTTCTGTCTTAGGGAGAAAATAAGATCATTTTTTTCTTTATTTTATTATTTAATTAAAAATTTCCACCTCCTCCCCTCCTCCCATTTCCCTTCCACTCCCCCCATCCCCGTTCCCTTCCCTCTCCAGTCCAAAGAGCAGTCGGGGTTCCCTGCCCTGTGGGAAGTCCAAGGTCCTCCCCTCTCCATCCAGGACACGGAAGGTGAGCATCCAAACAGACTAGGTTTCCACAAAGTTATTACATGCAGTAGGATCAAAACCCAGTTCCATTGTCCTTGGCTTCTCAGTCAGCCCTCCTTGTCAGCCATGTTCAGGGAGTCCGGTTTGATCACATGCTCCATCATCCAGCTGGCCTTGGTGAGCTCCCATTAGATCAGCTCCACTGTCTCAGTGGGTGGGCACACCCCTTGCGGTCCTAATTTCCTTGCTCATGTTCTTTACATTTTTAAAAATTTATTTTTAAAACAATCTTTTTTCATTTTATATAGCAAACCCAGTTTCTTTTCTATCTCCTTCAACTCCCCCCACCTTTCACCCACCCCACCACCCATTCACTCCTTAGAGAGGATGGGACTTCCCGTGGGGAGTCAACAAATTCTGGCACATCACTTTGAGGCAATACTAAGTTCTCCCCACTCTATATTTAGATTGAGTAAGGTATCCCTTCAAAGAGAATGGGCTTCAAAAAGCCAGTTCAAGCATTAAGAATAAATCCTGGTCCAACTGCCAGTTGCCCCACAGACTGCCCCAACAATACAACTGTCATCCACATTCAGAGGACCTAGTTTGGACTTTTGCAGGTTCCCCTGCTGTCAGTCAAGAATCAATGAACTCTCATTAGCCCAGGTCAGCTGTTTCTGTGGATATCCCCATCCTGGTCTTGACCCCTTTGCTCACATTATTGCTCCTCTCTCTCTTCAACTGGACTTTGGGAGCTCAGCCCAGTGCCAGCTCTGGATTTCTGCATCTGCCTCCAACAGTTGTTGGATGAAGTTTCTATGATGACAATTAAGGTAGTCATCAATATGGTTACAAGGGAAGGCCAGTTCAGGTACTCTCTCGACTATCACTTAGGGTCTTACCTGGGATCATCCTGTAGTTTTGTGGGAATTTTCCTAGTTCCAGGTTTCTTTCTAGCCCCATAATCATCCTCTCAATCAAGATATCACTGTTTTTGTTCTCCATCACTGTCCTTCTCTCATCTCGGCCATCCTATTCCCTCAAGTTCTCCACCCCTTCCCTTCTCCCCCTTTCCTCCCCTTCTGTCCTCCACTCTTATTTCCCACTCCCAATTTTTTCAGGAGTTCTTATCTATTTCACCTTCCCAGATCAATCGATTTATACCTCTCTTAGGATGCTCCTCACTACCTAGCTTCTCTGGGGTCACGGATAATACACTCATTATCCTTTGCTTTATGTCCAATATCCACTTAAGAGTGAGTACATACTGTGTTTGTTTTCTGTGTCTTGGTTACTTCACTAAGGATGTTTTTTATTTTTATTTTTTATTGTTTTGTAGTTCCACTCATTTGCCTGCAAATTTCAAGATGTCACTGTTTCTTTTTCCCGCTGAGTAGTACTCCATTGTATAAATGTGCCACATTTTCTTTATTCATTATTTGGTTGAGTGGAATCAAGGTTGTTTCCAGGCTCTGGTTATTAAGGATAATGCTGCTATGAACATAGTTGAGCAAATGCCTTTGTAGTATGAGTCTGCATCCTTTGGGTATATGCTCAAGAGTGATATTGCTGGGTCTTGAGGTAGACTGAGTCCCAATTTTCTGAGAAACTGCCATACTGTTTTCAAAAAAAATGGCAGATAAAATCTCAATTCTGAACATGTATGCTTCAAATACAAGAGTACCCACGTATGTAAAAAAAAACAAACTTTAGTAAAGTTTAAATCAAACATCAAACCCCACACACTAATAGTAGGAGATTTCAACACTCCACTCTCTCCTATTGACAGGTCAACAAGACAAGCAACTTAAAAGAGACATAAGAGAACTAACTAACAGATGTCATGACTCAATGGACTTAACAGACATCTATAGAACATTTTACCCAAACACAAAAGAATATATCTTCTTCTCAGTACCTCATGGAACCTTCTCTAAATTTGACAACATACTTGGTAACAAAGCAAATCTAAACAGGTACAAATATATTGGACCAACTCCCTCTATTTTATCAAATCACCATGGCTTAAAGTTAGAATTCAACTACAATACTAATTGCAGAAAGCCTACAAACTCATAGAAATGGAACAGTGCTTAATTGAATCACCCCTGGGTCAAGGAAGAAATAAATTAAGAAAGACTTCCTAGATTTCAATGAAAATCAATGCACAACATACCCAAACCTATGGGACATTATAAAACCAGTGTTAAGAGGAAAGTTCATAGCACTAAGCACCTACATAAAGATAGTGAAGAAAGCTCACACTAGTGACTTAACAGCATACCTGAAATCTCTAGAACAAAAAGAAGGAGACTCACCCAGAAGGAGCAGATGACATGAAATAACCAAATTAAGTACTGAAATCAATAAACTAGAAACAAAGGAAACAATACAAAGAATCAATGAAAAAAAAGCTGGTTCTTTGAGAAAATTATCAAGATAGACAAACTCTTATCCATACTAACCAAAAACCAAAGAGAAAGTATCAAAATTAACATAATCAGAAGTGAAATAGGGGACATAATAAGATCATTTTAACTTTACTGACCTCTGACATGTCTCAGCAATTAAGAGATTGCCTTGAGAGGAGGGATTGAGAACACAGAAAGTGAACCAAGAGACAAAGGGATAGATTGATGGAAAAGAAATAACTAGTGTCCTGGAAAGTATCAGGACTCTACTCTGTGTTTTTTACTTTTTATTTATTTTCTGTGAGTTTCACCTCATGTATCTTGGTCCCATTCATCTCCCCATCCCTTCAGATCTGCCCTCTGCATTTATGATACCACCTCCACCAAAAATAAAATTTAAGAGAAAAGTAAAAAAGAGCAAGAGAGAGAGAGAGAGAGAGAGAGAGAGAGAGAGAGAGACAGAGAGAGACAGAGAGAGACACACACACATAGAGAGATCTCAGCAAGGAATTGTAATGTGTCACAGTGACTCACACTATATATCCTTTCATCCATATATCTTTGCTTGCAAATGTTCATTGCAAGGAGACATTGGTCTGGCTGAGGCTTATTGTTTCTATCACACTATGCATACTTGTCCTTCACTGGGACTCCTCTTGGTTATCATATTGTTGCCCTGTGTTTTGGATATCCTGAAGCTTTATGTCTGCAGGACCACCCCCTTCATGCACCTCAGGATATCATAGATGTGATGAACATTGGGGTTGGCCAACTCATAGCTGTGGTTCTGGTCCTGGGTGGTTGCAGGATTGGTCAGACCGACAGATCTCCCCCATCCTCACCACCAGGGTGGCCTCTCCAGCAAAGCCCTTGCTAGTTCACCTTATGATGCAAGGAACATGAGGAAGTGCTGATTCTTTAGCTTCCACACCTCCAGGGCTGGCTCGCCCACATCAGCACCAATAGAGCCATATCTACAGTGTTGCCTATGCAAAGTGGGGGTCTGCTCTTCTGAGTGCTATAACTGTTGAGGAGCAGTGACAGCTCTCATTTACTCATTACTTCAAGGCCAGTTCTCCCTCTTGCCACAGGCAGCGAGGGGGGCACATCTGCCCCTTTCCCACACCACCACATGGCAGATGAGCGGTGGGGCTACATCTTCCACATTCACATTCTGTCAGTTCTACCGCCATCTCCTCTGGCCAGCTCTACTGTGCTGCCAGGTGTGGTGTAGGGATGGCCCTCTTGAGTGGCAGCTGATGAGCAGCTGGGTCAACTTCCCCCTTGCTGCAGGTTGCATGGGGGGAAGGGGAAGCCTAGCTCGCCTCTTATACCCGAGTTACGCAATTCTGTATGCGGGACCAGAGAAGAGGAAGTTGCTATTGCAGAAGTTTCCACATGGTTCTCACAGTGAGTTGCATGGGATGGGGTGGGGTAACATGTGCTCATGAGTCTCAGCGGAAAGATCTGTTTTTCTCCTGTTTTATGCTTTGGTTTCTCTGCTCTGAGAATTGCTGAAGTATTAATATGAAGCCAGAAAATATGATTTTATACAACAAAGCACTGTTAGATATTGAGCTCTGGGTGGGTTTCAAAATGTGCTCAATGAAAGAGTGAAACACAAATTATCGCTTATTGGGTGAGGAGATTCCTATGATGTATCCAGGCTAGACAGATCAACAGAGGCAGAAAGCAGCATCTGAGAAGCATGTTCAATGGAAGTGAATGTGGAATTTGCACGTGGTTCTCTTGAGAATGGTGGCAATGTTCAGACTAGAGTTGGATAGTTTTCTGAATGTACACTTCCCTAAGTGTCCAGTATCCTTACATTCTGTAAGTCTTTGCCTTTCTTCCAAGGATTCACTATTGCCTCTCATGCACCCTTGTAGGGGTGGGGGGCATGGATATAGGACATCAGTGAGCCATTCTCACCATATTGGGTGTTGTAGTTTGGGTTCTTTTTTGAGGAATTAGAATACCAAATTAAAGTCTTTCATAACATTGGATTGGCTGACCTTCCCTCTAACACTGAAATAAAGTATATCATTATCATAGTCTGAGGGAGGAAGAATGGGGGCTGTTCCCATGCTCTTCCCATGGCTTAACGAAAACCAGTGAATATCCTCCAGTGAGCGTTAGTGCCTTGGTGTCATGAGAAGTTGAGAACCATGACACAAATATAGAAGACGGCAATTGATAATTCAGATGTCAAGCCACCAGATGTATAATTGTGTGGCGGAGAGAACCTCACTCAAGCAAGGCTTATGACACCACTGACTATGGAAACTTACTGCTTCTGTCTGTAAATGCACATGTTCACAATCAACTGTGGAATTTCTCCAGACTGTGACTTTTCATGTAATTTGTACATACAATCTCACAGTTACAACTCAATCTATGGGCACATATATCTATGGATAGTTAGAAAGATGACTTCTCATTAGTTTGTATAATTGCTTCATAACCAGATCTATAACCACGAGCACTGTTGGACCCTTAGCCCCCCCCATTTTTTTTATCACTGGCTCAAACTGGCATAAAGCAAACAATTTCTTCTTAGTTCTAAGATAAGTCAAATACAATTAATTGATTGAAAACCTCAAGAGCAAATTCAAAGTAGATTGAATGTCTCTATGAACAGACTGCAAGTCAGACTTTCACAGATTATGCTCAAGGACAGAGGTGCAGGTGTCTTATTTGTTGAATCAAAGTCCTTTAGGCACAGAAGTGGCCTGAAAGTGCTGTGCCAGTTTCTTTAGCCAGGTCTAGAGATGATAACAGAGACCAGCAGCTAGTCCCTACTCAATTCCATAGCGATTAACACACTACACAAACTTCTAACCTCAGTTTATGATACAAAATTCAACGCTCAGCTAACTAACTGTTTATGCTTAAGTCCTAAAATTTATATGGAGGACAAGAATAACAACACCTAATTAGCCAAGTCCAGAGAGATTCACATGGGAAAAGTTTCACAGATAGCCAGGGGTACAAAAGATGGTCTGGCCACACAGCCTTGATAGTCAAGGCTACAAAAAATGATCTTAACTCACAACTGTGAGTGAACAAGTTACAAGCTTCTGCCCTTGTGCTCAGCGGCTGCATGCAGGATAAGGAAACACATTTTTAGGTTTGGGATGCCTTCAATTCCACTGCCCATGGAAGTTGCCAAACACTATGTCCCCACTTATGTGTGGTTGTGATAAATGGCTCTGCTCATTATTGTTGCCTCAAGGAATGCATTCTGATCCCGAGAAGAAGTTCATGTAACCTTTTTTATTAAATTAAGTTTGTTGTTCTTTTTATATGTATATAAAAGCTAGGTGAACAAGGAAGTTAGAGAGAATTGGAACAAGAGAATTGGAGCAATAGAATTGGAACTTGAGAACAAGAACTGGGAGTAAAAAGAGCACGGCTCTCAGATAGTGTATGTCTTTTTCCTTTAGATAGATAGGTATATGATGCCTGCCCTCTTCTGAAGAGAAAGGAAGAGGAGTGGAAGGAGAAGAGAGAGGGCAAACTCTTATCAGGTTGGGAAAAATGATATTAATAAAAATAAGAAAAATTCCTGTGAAATGTGACCTCTCCAAATATGTTGAGTGTCTCTTCTTAGATCATTCCATTGCTCTTCTTTGTTGAGTATGCACCCTTAAGTCTGTCTTCCCCTCTGCTCAGGCCTATGGTGCCTTTTTATTATGACTCTATCCCAAGGTCTTAGTTTATTTATTCTCTTACTTGTTTTTTTTCCCACTTATTTTGGATTTGGTATATGCACACTGAAGAATGACAGAGTACACAAAGTGACCCAAGAAACAAAGTACTGGATAAATGGAGCAAGATAACTGAGCTTCTGAAAACTCTCAGGCTCTCCCTTACACAAGTCAGTCAACTGCATGTAGGGACCAGAAAGGGGAAGTTACTGTTGCAAAAGTAGGCTGGGAAGACAGAATAGAATTTTGGAAAGAAGAGCAGAGTCAGGCAGAAACCACGAATCTCTGGCCTGAGATGGACATTGGTTAGAATCTTGCTGGTAAGCAATAGGCACGTGGTGATACACAGATTTAATAGAAATGGGTTAATCAAGATGTGAGAGTTAACCAAGAAGAGTCTAGAGCTAATGGCCCAGGCAGTAATTTAATTAATACAATTTCTGTGTGATTATTTCGGGTGTAAGCTAGTGGGGTGGCCAGGATGAAAAGCAGGCCCCCTTGCCCCTGTTACAGATTGGTATGGAAATGCACTATCATATGACAAAAGCATTTGTTCAACTATGTTCATAGCAGCACTATTTGTAATAGCCAGAACCTGGAAACAACCTAGGTGCCCCTCAATAGAAGAATGGATAAAGAAGATGTGGCAATATACACTTTAGAGTTCTACTCAGTGGTAAAAAACAAAAACAAAAACAAAAACAAAAAACAAAAAAACAATGACATCTTGAAATTTACATGCAAATGGATGGAAATAGAAAACACTTTACTGAGTGAGATAACCCAGACCCAAAAAGATGAATATGATATGTACTCACTCATAAGTGGATTCTAGCCATAAACAAAGGACATTGAGCCTATAGTTCATGACTCTAGAGAAGCTAAATAAGAAGGTGAACCCAAAGAAAAACATATAGGTATCCTCTGGGATATTGGAATTAGACAAGATGTCCCACAGCCACGCTGATGAATATCTTGCATATCACCATAGAACTTTCATCTGGCGATGGAGGAGATAGAGACAGAGACTCACATTGGAGCACTTGACTGAGCTCCTAAGGTACAGATGAAGAGCAGAAGAAGGGAGAACATGAGCAAGGAAGTCAGGACTGCGAGGGGTGTGTCCACCCACAGAGACGGTGGGACTTATCTAATGGGAGCTCACCAAGGCCAGCTGGACTGGGTCTGAATGAGCATGCGATCAAACCAGACTCTCTGAATGTGGCTGACAATGAGGGTGCACTGAGAAGCCAATGATAATGACACTGGATTTTGATTCTACTGCATGTACTGGCTTTTTTTGGAGCCTAGTCTGTTTGAATTCACACCTTCCTAGGATGGAGGGAGACCTTGGACTACCCACAAGGCAGGGCACCCTGACTTCTCTTATGAAGGGAGAGGAAGGGTGAGTGGGGGGAGTGGAAGGGAAATGGGAGGATGGGAGGAAGTGGAAATTTTAAATAAATAAAAAATAAATAAAAACAATAAATAAATAAAATAAAATTTAAAATAATAGAATAAAGTATCTTGGGGTAACATTAACCAAGAAAGTTTAAGTTTTTGAAGAAAGAAATGGAAGAGTATACCAGAAAATGGAAAGATCTCCTATGCTCTATGATAGGAAGGATCAACATAGTAAAAATGTCAGTCCCACCAAAGGCAGTCTATAGAGTCAATGCTATCTCCATCAATTTCCCAACATAAGTTCTTCACAGACCTTGAAAGAACAATAATCAACTTTATATTGAAAAAAAAAAACCAGGATAGCCAAAACAATCCTATACAATGAAGGAACTTCTAGAGGCATTACCATTCATGACATCAAGCTATATTACAGAGCTACACTAATGAAAACAGTTTGGTATTGGCATAAAAACAGAGACATTGACCAATGAAATTGAATCCAAGACCCAGATATTAATCCAGAAACTTATGAACACCTAATTTTTGACAAAGAAGCTAAAATTATACAATGGAAAAAAGAAAGCATCTTCACAAATGGTGCTGGCATAACTGGATGTGAACCTGTAGAAGAATGAAAATAGATCCATATCTATCACCATGTACAAAACTCAAGTCCAAATGGATTAAAGATCTCAATATCAATCTGAACACACTAAACCTGATAGAAGAGAAAGTGGGAAATAGTCTACAACATATGGGCACAGGAGACCACTTCCTATGAATTACCCCTGTAGCACAGACAATAAGGGCAACAATGAATAAATGCCACCCCATGAAACTGAAAAGCTTCTGTGAAGCAAAGGACACTGTCAATATGACAAAAAGGCAACCTATGGAATAGGAGACAATCTTTACCAACCCCTCATCAGACAAAGAACTGATCTCCAAAATATATATAGAACTCAAGAAGTTAGACATTAAAATTCTAAATAGCTCAATTAAAACCCAGGTTACTGAACTAAACATAGAATTCTCAACAGAAGAATTTCAAATGGTCAAAAGATACTTAAGGACATGTTCAACTTTTTTAGCAAACTTGTGCAAACACTTTGGAAATCAGTGTGATGGTTTCTCAGAAAATTGGGAGTCAATCTACCTCAGGATTCAGCAATACCTCTCTTGGGAATATACCCAAAAGATGCTCAAGCATACTACAAAAGAATTTATTCAACTATGTTCATAGCAGCATTATTTGTAATAGTCAGAACCTGGAAACAACCTAGATGCCCCTCAATGGAAGAATGGATAAAGGTGTGACACATCTACACATTAGAGTAGTACTCAATGGTAAAAAACAATGACATCTTGAAATTTGCATGCAAATGGATGGAACTAGAAAACACTATCCTGCGTGAGATAAGCGAGACCCAAAAATATGAATATGGTATGTACTCACTCATTAGTAGATACTAGCCATAAACAAAGGCTATTGAACCTATAGTTCATGATCCTAGAGAAGTTAAGTAATAAGGTGATCCCAAAGAAAAACATATATAGATCCACCTGGAAAACTGAAGCAGACAAGATTGCCTGACAAAATTTGGAAGCATGGGGGCGGAGGTTTGAGGGAAGGGGAGAAGGAGAAGATGAGGGGAGAAGGAGAAGAGGAAGGGAGAAGGGAAGGGTTGAGGAGAGCTTAAGAAAATGGGATACTTGAGAACAGGAGTATTCTGGGAAGAAGGAAACACTTTCCAGAGTCCTGCCTAGATTACAGAAGAAGCAAGATGTGACCTACCCCCACTGAAAAAGATACCAAGCCATGTGGCTAACATAGACTAGAATAATGGGCTAATATGAGTTATAAGAGCTAGTAAGGAGCCTGAGCTAATGGGCCAATCAGTTTATAATTAATATAGATCTCTGTGTAATTTCTTTGGGGGTTACCTGCTGTGGGAACTAGGTAGGACAGAAACCTCAACCAGCAAGCCACCATGTTACAGAATGGCGCCCCCGTGGATAACTGTACCCACAGAAGGCCTGAGAAAGCTTGGGGAAGAATAGAGTAAAGCATGTTGTCTTGGTAGTAGCAATTTCTCGGGTCTGCTCTGCTTGTTAGAGGCAAGCAAGTGCTCTCATTTAACAGAGGCTTCCTGACTCAGCTTTAGCTGCAAAACCCTGCAGCTCTTTAAAGAGGTCCTGCCACAAAACACTCAAATGGTATTTAAATAAATGGTATTGACAAATAGCTGACTGCATGCTGTTTGGATTTTAGCTGTAGCAGGAAAAAAAGCCATGCTGTTTTAAAATGCCAGCTTTCTGGCCCATCCTGACAGTACAAACTCTGACTCTTTCAGGCAGGCAGTCTTACTACGGAGCATTTGAATGTGGTTTGTGAGCAGAATGCTGCAGCTTGCTTGTTGGCAAGCTTGAAACAATTTTGAAACACCATAGAGCTGTGGCAATAAACATGGCTCCAGCTGGTACCTCCACCATGAGCCTGGAATCTCACAAAGGTAAGGAATGGGCTGGATCCAGCCATCAAAGCCACAGCTTTAATCCTATTCATATTCCTTAGTAAATTAAAGACTCATGTGGTCAGAAAAAGAGAGAGATATACAGTAAAGATTCATTCAAAGATGAAGGAAACCTCTAAATGGTTTAATGTGTGTTAAAAAAAATATATGCAGGCTAAAGGTTAAAGTCCTTAAAATAAAAAAGAAAGAAAGAGAGTAGTTGGGTGTAGTGGTACACACCTTTAATCCCAATGTTTGTGACGCAGAGGCGAGACCTCTGCAAGTTCAAGATGTGGCACTCAACTTCTCCCTCCAACAACAAATTTTCTAAAAAGAGCATGTGGATTTTTCACTAGGGGAAGTATAAAAACCACAGCTTCCTAGGATGGTTTCGAGTCTTTAGTTAATCAGTATTCTCTTGTGAGTTTCAGAACTGATAGGATGGGGGTCATCCCATAGTCCCTGTCTTAGTAGTTGTTCGGTTGGAAGTTATAATTTCTTCCTGGCTTACTAGTGGGATATTATTACTTTATGAGGGAATTTCTAAGGATCTCAGAGTTAAATTTGAACTTTACAGTTATGTCCTGCTAGGATGGTATGCATATCAGGGCCAGAGAAGTTTATAATTTCCCTCTGGAGACAGAGTTTGATTATTGAGTATCCAGATCTTAAGATGATGCTGAGCTTGGTCATAATAATTTTTCCTAGTAAGGGAACAGGGAATGAGGCACAATTAGAAATCAGGAAATAAGAGTTTAATAATATTATTAAGATAAAAGAAGAATAAGGTAACATCTCTGCCTTCCACTCCATTGACAGTTGTGAAACCAGAGGGGATGACTATCTGCAAAAACAGTTAACAATGAGTACTCTTCCCCGAATCAATTCCATAGGAAATTGAATTTTCTTGCTTGTGATTGCCAGAGTAACCCAGAGTTCCTCAGTGGTGAGGATGATGTTCTCCAGGCCTTCATCATCATCCTTTTATTCCATTGTCATTAGGTTTAGTAGTTACCTGGTTCCATTGGAACTTGAGGGTTACCTTTGACCCTCTTATTGTTAAACACTGAGACTCTTATTTCCCAGACTATTGCAATTTCTAGATTCAAGGACCCCAGTACTCTGTTTCTTTAGTGATATAATTTGTGATATTTCTCATCTAGCTACAGAGAAATTTTCTCAAACTTATATCATATATATGAAACATCTTTTTGATTATATTAGTTACTTTTCTACTTCTATGAAAAAACTCCATGGCAAAGGAAGCTTATAGAAGTACACATTTAATTTCAGAGGGTTGAAAGGCAAAAGCATGGTGGCAGGAACAACTGAGAGCTCACATCTTGACCTGCAAGAGAACACTGGCAATGACATGAGTTTTTGGAATTTCAAAGCCTGCTCCCAGTAACATGCCTCTTCCAAGAAAGCCGTAACTCATTATCTTTCTCAAACAGTTCAACCCATTGAAGATCAAGTATTTAAATATGTGAGCCTATGGGGCCCATTATCATTTAAACCAGCACATTGATTATCCTTCTTTTATTTCTCATGCACACACCGAATCACGTTAGTTGGATGGGTATATCAATTTCCAGGAATTTATCCTTATAATGAATTATCACCCTTAGGGAAAGGTGAAACCTCTCCTTTAACTCTTATTTAGAGAGTAGCACAACACATGTGCCAATTGTAGGATGTTGAAAAGCCACAGTCAACACCAAGAAAGAGGCCATGCATTTTGGGTCAACTCCATTTAACCAAAGTATTTATGTTTCACAAGGCTGGAGACATCCAGCATCTAAAGGAGAGAATCTAAAGGGGGCCCAGTCTGAAGTAATCAACCTCACGCTGCTCTTCTCTCACATAGAATGCCTGTTTTGGGGAAAGTCAGACCAAAAACTGCAATTTATTCTACATTGTAAGTCATCATGGTTCTCTATTCTGTCCATTTATGCTTGCAGTGGCCTGTAGAATGAGTTCTGGTACTGTTTCCAGATCTAGATGATCTTTTTAAAAGTCATTGGTTTAAAGAAGAGTTACAATTTCTGCTTGGCATGGGGGTACTCCAGGACTCTTGACTCTGGAATCCCAAGTGATTTTCATTGGAGGTGTTCCTTTTCCTGGCTCCCCAGCATTCTCCAGCTTTTTCTCACTGAAAAAAAAATGGAGTTGCTCAATTACATGGTTTTGTTCCTGGATTACAGATTGTTTGGCCTCTGCTTTGAAAGAACTTTCTGTTCTGTTTTGTTCTCGTTCACAACCCAGATGCTGTCGCATTCAATGGCGCCTTTCAGCTCAGTTCAGCTTAGTCTAGTTCAGTTCAGGTCAGTCATACTTAGTTATTTAGTGTGCTGTGGTGTCTCATTTATTTCAGAGCTCTGTTAGAATAGATAACATGAGCTCTACTTTAGTCAAAAAGTCCTCATGAATGTTCTGAAAAAGGGTTGTGATGATGTTTATAACTCGATGAAAAGAAATTGAAGCATTATTATAACCGAGCCAGGCTTCTTTATGTTTTGGGCTCCAGGAGAAATGATCAATTACTGTGCTCTACATTATAATGCCATTTTACAACTAGAGTTGGTTTCCAAGGCTTGGGGAAAAGGGAAATATATTAAGCCTACACAGCAAACTCTATTTTCCTACCTTTCAACATTCGCTTAAGGAAGTTTCTTCTAAGCACTTGCATATTCTACCTTGTTTGTGCCAAATGGGTGGTATCTGAATTACTGCAATTGTTTTATGTCTCCATTTGTCTCTAAAATGGGATGAGTCAAGACTTCATTTGCCTCAGAATTCCTGAAAAAAAAAAGAAAGATAAACAACAGACAGCCTGTCCTTAGAACCTCTCCTATACCACCTGGATGCTTAAAAATTGTCCTTAAAGGGTTGCCTTTGCTCTCACACCTTGACATCTGTCATTTGCTCCACCTCTCATAATAGTATTATAGATCCCATAGCAACAAGTAGACAACAGGAAGTGGAGACAAACCACATGGTGAATCATCATGACTTCAGATAAAATTGTTTAGAGACAAGGGACATGAGGCATTCAAAGTAAGCTCAAGGTATCGATGGTGGAACATGCTTGTGATTTCCAACAATGACACACTGTATTACAGGCAGTGGAGATCTTCCCATGTCCACTCACACCATGCTAGATACAAGAGAGACAGAGAGCTGCAGCAAACATGTAAAGGCACAGCAGAGGATTCTGGGGTCTGCAGTCCCATGGCCTTGCCTAAATGAGATTGGCACATCAGAGGATTCCCTTCTGGTGGGCTGACATCTGAACTTCAATTGCAACTTGCTGCTCCTCTGGCATGGTCAATGACAGTTCTGTCCTCAGTGTGATAAGTGAAGTTGGGGTAGATATAATCTCTATAAAAAAGTACTAGAGAGCCTGAAACCAACATAAGGCATAGTACTGGGGAAATGAAAGCCAGTTGTGTTGGAAGATACTTCCTTTTCCTGTGGTGCTGAAGAAATGGCCATCATGTGATGGGGAGTACTGAATTCCCTAGGCCACACCTTGTATTGCTTGTCCATATGGTCAGACACTCTGGCCCTGCTGCTAAGCACAGTTGTGTAGCCACTGGAAGGAGATGCCATGACTACTGCCTCCACTGCCCTGCTCTATCTTGGTGAGATATCAATAGTGGACAGGGATACTGTGATCTGGTGGTGGTGGTGAACATGCTTCAAAGAGAGACCCTGATTCATCAGGAAACCCTAGGGGTGCAGGAACTTCTGGAGAGGGGAGGATCTTCTCTGATTTGAGGGGCAAAGGTCACACAGAAAATTCTCTTTCAGGGCTGAGCCTGATCCCCATGACCTATGTACCAGCAGGTGAGTGTGGCTAATGATGCTTCTTTTGTAGATCAGGAGCAAATCCTCGACCAGGGGATAAAGAATTACAGATGTGAACTACTCCTGGTTCATTCTCAGAGGTTTTTGGGACTGAGGGATGCGATTAGGGTGCCTATGCCCTGTGATCAAACTGGTGATTTCCTTACAGAAATTATGGGCAAACCCACACTCAGAGCTCAGCCAGGCTCCGTGATGACCAGCGGCATGCAATTGACCATTTCATGTGAGGGAACCTCTAGCGCCCAGGAATATTATCTCTATAAAGAGGGCAGTCCAGATCCCTGGCAACGACAGAGCCCTCTAGAGCATGGGAACCAAGCCGAGTTCTTCTTCCCGTCCTTTCATCCAAACGATGCAGGGAGATATCGCTGTTACTATAGGACCCACACTGGCTGGTCAGAGCGCAGTGACTTTCTGGACTTGATGGTGACAGGTAAGTGAAAACCCAGTTTCTCCATTCCAAGGTTCTGTCCTCAGGAGAGTATCTTTCCTTTGCTTTGAAAAGTCCTAATTCTGGAGGGTAAATCCCAAGGTGCTGGTTCTTTTAACAGGATGCCATCTTCTTCTCTAGGACTCTACAGAAAACCCAGTCTATCAGCCCTGCCCAGCCCAGTGGTGAGATTTGGAGGAAATGTAACTCTCGAGTGTATCTCACAGCTTGGATATGATGGGTTTTCTCTGACTAAGGAAGAACAACAGAAAATCTCTTGGACCCTAGACTCACAGTACATATACTCTAAAAACAATTTCCGGGCACTGTTCTCTGTGGGTCCTCTGACCTCCGGACATAGGAGGACATTCAGATGCTATGGCTATTACTTGAATAAATCCCAGGTGTGGTCAGAAGCCAGTGATCCTCTGGAACTCCTGGTCTCAGGTGAGGAAGCCCAGCTTGTGTACTGAAAGATAGTTCATTCGACAAAATACCTAGGGATCTGGGACTCTGAAAATCCCATTGACACAAAGCATGAAGACAATAGGACCCAAGATAATGAAACTGAAAGAGGGTACTGAGAGTGAAACATGAGTTGTCTAGAAGACGGGTGGGTCTTTCTGTTACTCTAGTGTTCCCTCTGCTATTCAAGGATTAGCTCAATGATCTCCATATAATCATGTAGTAAGTAGATACATATGTATATGATAGTTGTACATTATATGCATTATATATGATTTTATATACCTGTAAATCCAGATACTCATTGGAGACAAAACATGGTATTTATCTTTCTATTTTCTATTTATGCTGTTTAATATATTGATCTCCATTTGCAGCCAGGTTTTAAAAATTTTCCTGCGCAAATAATTTTTCCTTCAAATAAATAAATCTAAAATTGCATGGTTACAATAAACTTATTCATATACAAGTATAATATTATTTTGTTATGTTCACATGTATTTATAATTACAGAAATCCATCTACAATTTTATATGGTTATGTATATATGAATATATATAAATGTAACTTATTAATATATGAGTGTTACATTTAAATCATTTCTACCTTTTCCATTCCTCCTCTCACTCTTTCTGTGTTTTCCAAACCCTTTTAACTTTGGCCTCTGATTTTTAATTGTTATTCTTATATACAACACACACAAGCACACGAACACATAAATGCACATCTTATAGCCTAGCTTGAGATTCTTTTGATTCTTCCATTTTCTAGCCTTGTCTCCAAATGATTTTATCTGAAGACCTCACAGATTCACCATGTGGTTTGTCTCCACTTCCTAATGTTCACTAGTTACTATCTGATTTTGTTAGTTTGATCTGACCCCACGATATACAGAGGAACAAGAGACTATAGAATTCAGGTGGTCAATATTTTGGTCTTCTTTAAGCAACCATACTTTTGAAATTTCATGGGTGTAGCTTCCCTCTCTTGCCTAGAAGTCTCTATTGTGTAGCAGTAATCTTGTTCCTCTGGCTGTTGTAACCTTCCTATCTCTCTTACTCAATGTTCCCTATATTTTATATACACAGTTTGTGTTGTAGGAGTACCCATTTGGACTGGGCACACCAAGCTATCTTATTTCTGTTTTGACCAGTTGTGAATTTTTATACTCATCTTCATCTGTAGGAACAGATGCTTCTTTGATGAGGAGACACAGCTAAACTTACTTGTGGGTATAAGGATAAACACTTAGAATGAAGTCAGAAATCACATTGGTTTAGCAACATGGCAGAATTGGTTTCTAATCTAGAGTCCATAGCCTCTCCAGATATGGTTAAAAGTAATATATTTTACATCCATTTTAGTGTCATATTCTTTGATGATTTAGCTTATCTACTTATGAGAACATATCTACTTCATGGACATTGTGAGCACATCTTTAAGTTCTTGTGATCTCATTGTTTGTACTACTAATGATGTGATGATTAGAGAATGAGATGTTAAACAGAAGCATCATGAAAATTGGGTGACTTGAATGCAGGCAGAGAACCCAGACTGTTTTGTGTAACTCATATTCATGGGACCCCGATGACAAGACATTGTCTGCACCTTGGGATCTCAGCTGGTGAATGAGTGCAAACCAATTTCCAGGGGAATTAGCTTCCAGGATTCTTTACTACAGCAGAGCTGGGATCATAGGAAGGCCTTTATATTTTAAACTGGGAGGCTGTATTTTTCCATCTTAGCTTTCTAAAAAACAATGCACTTGGTTCCAATGAAGTACATTGGCCACAAGTTCTAAACTCAGAGCATAGTCATGCTGAAGAAATCAAGCAAAAGCCCAGAAGAAAGCCTGCTATAGCAGAGTAATGATTTGTCCCAGTTCTTTATTATATTTTGTGATGAGCATAATATGCATTTCTAAGGAATAGTAATACACATCTTTGCAAAAACAATCAGTTCTCTTGAGCACTTCACACGTTGATCATGCCTTTGTTTCTCAGAAGTGCCTGAGACCACCAGCCAACCACAAAACATGTCAGAAGGCACAGTAGGTGAGTAAGGAAAATTTTGGTTTGGGCATGGATACAGAAGGTCAAATTGTATACACAGGAGGGAGCTACTCAGAGTGGAAATACAATTACATTCTGGTGGCTGTGTATGGTCCTGACCTGTTTGTCCACAATCTCCAGTCTCACAGCCTCAAGATCACACAGTGGAGAACATCATTCGGATGGGCGTTTCTGGTTTGATTCTCACAGTACTCGGGATTTTGCTGTTTGAAGCTTACTACAGCCGGAGAAGACCTTGATTGCATCTTAGAAGTGAAGACAAGAGATGGCCACAGGCTTGCATTGTTACTATCTGAAAAATAAATTTGTGAATCTTAGGGATTTTTATAAGAAAATTCAATGTTTAATATTGGGAATCACTTGTGAGAAAAGATCCAGGAATCAAATGTGTTTTGGATGCAGGAAAGCATCTAACTGTTGAGTTGGAGACCTCTTCCAACATCACATTAAGGCTTGCATTCTCTACCTTGCCGTGGACTTTGAGAATTTTTTCTCCCCTTCCCTTTTACAGGGGAACTTATTGTCCCATTAGTGAAGTTTGGTCCTGAACTTTGTATATCTTCTCCTTTCCCAAGTTTCTTGTCATACTTTATTATAAATTATCATATTCCCTATTACGAGCATCTGCTTTTGTGGAGGTTTTTGTACTAGGAACAAGGAATTTGACTCAATAACAACAACAAAAATATTAATGAACACAATTCAGATTCCCAAATGCTAAAATAACTGAATATAAATGATGCTCCCAAATTCTGTACTTTCCCTTAGATATCCTACTATGCACATTCATTGTGAGGTTCTTGTTAATTTATAAAAAAATTACTGTCTAGTGTTTAAAGGAGCTATGAGTGGGACACTGTTGATATAGTTTCAAAAAATCATTTTTTTAATTGTTGCTCTGTGACTTTTGCTGATGGATATGTATAATCCTTTGCATTCCTGTATTCCAAGGTCAGTCAGATCCATGAAGGGAGAAACAAGGAGTAGTGAAAATAGCAGACCATGACCACCTTTGCCCTCTTTGCCTATTTCTGTGTGAGGAGGCAGAACACCACCAAATGCTGACAAATTTTTGCATTCTCACAGTAAAAGATATTTGTTTAGTCCTCAATTAATTATCGAAATATTTGAGGTCCATGAAGAGGGCACAGATGTTTTATGCATAGCAGACGTTTTGTTAAGGTCAATTTGTACATTTCATTGTTAATTATGTAAAAACTGGAGTATGGGGCTCTGAAGATGCAGAGACCAATGGAGATAAAACTAAGATACTGTTAAGAAGGAGATGGTGAGCATGAGGACTTAAAATGATCTAGTCACCACAGAGGTATAGAGAGTCTGGACAGACCTTCATGGCTCCTGAACTTTTAATGTTTCTTATGCATTATCTTCATTAAGGTGATTAATGCGGGAAATCACATTTTAACTGTGGTAGGAACTATTTTTGGGACAAGGAGATAATGGTGTGTATAAAATGAAGAAGTGAACTCAGCACCAGCATGTAATTATTCATCCTTTTCTGCTTCTTGTATGTGGATATAAAGCTTCTGGATGCTTCAAGTTTCTGTAGACTTTTAATCAACTGTACCCTGCAGCTGTGAGTTATATAAGTATTTTCTGCATTAAGTTGCTTCCACTTCTGATGTTTTTATTTCATCACAGTAGCAGGAAACGTAACACAGAGAGATCTTTGATTCCCCTCACTTAACAATATTTGCGTGTTGACCACTCAGGGTTATGCCTGTTTTGTACAGGCAACCACACTTACTATGAGCACATTCCTACACTGTGACATGTGTTCAGGAGATGGTATTTGACAGCACTACTTTTCTTCCCTCACCTTTATTCTTTAGCATTCCCTGAACCATGGAGAGGGGGATACAGATGTGCTGATTAGGTCAAAGCATTCCATGGTCACACATTTTCTACACATTTACATGCTACAAGTTTGTACTATAAATCTACTATTGGCAATTGCATACACAAATGTCTAACTAACACTGAGCCAAGTACTAATCCCTTCATTTAAACATAACTAATGCAGTATGACACCATGTGAATTAAGCAAAAATAAGAATAGCAGATTCTACACAAGCGTAGAATCTTCCTGCTGTGGATTTTTGACCCAGTATTATACTACAAGACAAAAATGCTCTTCTGTTAAACATACATCAAATAACATAAGAAAACAGTCATGTAGTACAGTTAATAAAAGCCTAGCGATATAAATTGGGGTCCAACCTGAATGTCAGAAAAGCAAAACAGCCAGCCACAGCTTTTACCTCTACCTCAGCCCTAAACGATGATCCAGCCTCCAGGAATCTCATAATGAAACTGTGTGTAAGAGCTGTCCCCTCCTGTTTTATATTCCTCCCTAGTGCTAGAATTAAAGGTGTGCACTATTACTGCATGTTTTCTATGGCAAACTTGTGTGGCTACTGGGAATAAAGGTGTGTGTCACCACTGCCTGGTCTGTAAGTCTGGTCAGTATGGCTGTTTTACTCTCTGAATTTCAGGCAAGCTTTATTTATTTTTTCCTTTTTTAATTAATTATATTTATTTACTTATTTTTTATCTTTATTATTTTTCCTCTCATTCCTTCCCCTCCTGCTTCCCCACTCACCCTCCTCCCTCACCCTCCCTCCTTAAGAAAGGGCAGGGAATCCTGCCCTGTGCGAAGTCCAAGGCCCTCTCCTCAACATCCAGGCCTAGGAAGCTGTACATCTAAAAAGACCAGGGTCCCCAAAAGCCAGTACATGCAGTAGAAACAAGTCCCGGTGCCTTTATCAGTGGTTTCTCAGTCAGTCCCCATTATCAGCCACTTTCAGAGAGTACGGTTTGATCACATGCTCGTTCAGTCCCAGTCCAGGTGGATTTGATGAGTTTCCATTAGGACAGGCAATCTGCCTCAGCAGGTGGACCAATTCCTCATGGTCCAGACTTCCTTGCTCATCTTCTCCCTCCTTCTGCTCTTCAACTGGACCTTGGAAGGTTAGTCCATTGCTCTGATTAGGGTCTCTGTCTCTATCTCCATCTGTCACTGGACAAAGGTTCTATGGTGATATTCGAGAAAATCATCAGTGTGATAGTGAGGCAAGGGCAGTACAGGCTTCCTCTCCTCTGCTGCCCAAGGATCTAGCTGTGGACATCCCTGTAGACATCTGGGATCCCCTCTAAAGCCAAGTTTCTTGCCAACCTTAAAATGGCAAGATATTTTCTTCTCTGCTCCTATGTCCGCCCTTCCTCAATCTCCACCCTTCCACTCCCCCAAGCTCTCTCCAGTCTTTCCCTTTTCCCTTCTCTCTCCTCCTTTCCCCTTCCCCCAGGCCCACTCCCACCCTCATGCTTCCAACTTTTGCCCAGCAATCTTATTTTCTTCCAATTTCCAGGAGAATCTATATATGTTTTTCTTTGGTCCACTTTGTTATTTGGCATCTCAAAGCTTGTGAACTATAGGCTTAATGTCCTTTGTTTATGGCTAGAGTCCACTCATGAGTGAGTACATACCATATTCATCTTTTTGTGTCTGGGTTATCTCACTCAGTAAAGTGTTTTCTATTTTTATCCATTTGCATGCAAAATTTAAGATGTCATTTTTTTACAGCTGAATAGTACTCTAATGTGTATATTCCACAATTTCTTTATCCGTCCTTCCATTAAGTGGCATCTAGGTTGTTTCCAGGTTCTGTCTATTACAAATAATGCTGCTATGAACATAGTTGAGCAAATGCTTTTATAGTATGATTGGGCATCTCTTGGGTATATTCCCAAGAGTGGAATTGCTGGATCCTGAGGTAGGTTGATTCCCAGTTTCCTGAGAAACTGCCACACTGATTTCCAAAGTGGTTGCACAAGTTTGCATTCCCACCCACAATGGATGAGTGTGCCTCTTATTCCACATCCTCTCCTGCAGAGGCTATCATTGGTATTTTTGATTTTAGCCATTCTGACAGGTATAAGGTGGTATCTCAAAGTTGTTTTCATTTGCATTTCCCTGATCGCTAAGGAGGTTGAACATGACCTTAAGTGTCATTTGGCTATTTGAACTTCTTCTTTTGAGAATTCTCTGTTCAGTTCAGTACCCCATCTTTTAATTGGGGGTAATTAGAATTTTAATGTCTAGTTTCTTGAGTTCTTTATATATTTCGAAGATCAGACATTTGTCTGATGTGGGGTTGGCGAAAATCTTCTCCCATTCAGTAGGATGTCTTTTTGTCTTAATGACTGTGTCCTTTGCTTTACAGAAGCTTCTCAGTTTCAGGAGATCCCATTTAATCACTGTTGCTCTCATAGTCTGTACTACTGGGGTTATATGTGGGAAGTGGTCTCCTGTGCTCATCTGTTGTAGTCTACTTCCCACTTTCTCTTCTATCAGGTTCAGTTAGGTCGGATTTATATTGAGGTCTTTAATCCATTTGTACTTGAGTTGTGCATGGTGATAGATATGGATCTATTTTCATTCTTCTTCTACATGCTGACATCCAGTTATGACAGCACCATCTGTTGAAGATACTTTCTTCCATTGTATACTTTTAGCTCCTTTGTCAAAAATCAGGTGTTCAAAGGTTTGTGGGTTAATATCCAGGTCTTCGATTCGATTCCATTGGTCAACATCTTTGTTTTTGTGCCAATACCAAGCTGTTTTCATTACTGTAGCTCTGTAATAGAGTTTGAAGTCAGGAATGGTAATACCTCCAGAAGTTCCTTTATTGTAGGATTGTTTTGGCTATCCTGTTTTTTTTCTATATAATGTTGATTATTGTTCTCTCAAGGTCTGTGAAGAATTTTATTGGGATTTTGATGGGATTACATTGAATCTATAGATTGCTTTTGGTAGAATTGCCATTTTTACTTGTTGATTCTACCAATATAAGAGCATGGGTGATCTTTCCATTTTCTGGTATCTTCTTCAAGTTCTTTTTCAAATCCTTAAAGTTCTTGTCAAATAGATCTTTTACTTCCTTGGTTAGTGTTACCCCAAGATACTTTATGCTATTTGTGGCTATCGTGAAAGTTGAAGTTTCTCTGATTTCCCTCTCTGCTTCCTTTGTGTATAATTGGGCTACTGATTTTTTTGTGTTGATCTTGTATCCTGCCACATCACTGAAGGTATTCATCAGCTGTAGGAGTTCTTTGGTAGAGTTTTCGGGATCACTGATGTACACTATCATATGTTTGACTTCTTCCTTTCTGATATTAGTATAGCCATACCCACTTGTTTCTTAAGTCCATTTTATTAGAAAACCTTTTCCCAACCCTTTACTCTGAGGTAGGGTCTGTCTTTGTGGTTGAGGTGTGTTTCTTGTAAACAACAGAATGTTGGATCCTGTTTTCATATCCATTCTCTTATCCTGTGCCCTTTTATGGTTGAATTGAGTCCATTGATATTAAGTGATATTAAAGACCAGTAGTTGTTAACTCTTTTTTTGGTAGTAGTGTTTGTGTATTTCCCTTCATTGAGATGTGCTGGTGGAGGGTTGTCCAATGTCTGTGTTTTTGTGGGTGTTGTCAGCTTCCTTGGGTTGTGGTTTTCCTTTTAGTACTCTGTAAGGTTGGGTTTGTGGCTACGTATTGTTTAAATCTGTTTTTGTCCTAGAATATCTTGTTTTCTCAATTGATAGTGAAAGAAAGCTTGGCTGAGCATAGCAGTCTGGGCTTGCATCCATGGTCTTTTAGTGTCTGCAGCACATCTATAAGACCTTCTGGCTTTCATGGTTTCCATAAAAAAGTCAGGTGTAATAATGATAGGTTTACCTTTATATATTACTTGGCTCTTTTTTTTCATCTCTTAATATTCTTTCTTTATTCTGTATGTTTTGTGTTATTATTTTATGGTGAGGGGATTTTTTTTGGTCTAGTCTATTTTGTGTTCTGTAAGCTTCTTGTACCTTCATACGAAAATTTTTCTTTATGTTGGGGAAGTTTTCTTCTATAATTTTGTTGAATATATTTTCTGGGCCTTTGAGCTGTAATTCTTCTCCTTCTTCTACTCCTATTATTCTTATGTTTGGTCTTTTCATGGTGCCCCAGATTTCCTGGATGTTTTGTTTTAAGAATTTGTTGGATTTGCTGTTTTCTTTGATCAGTGCATTTATTTCCTCTATAGTATTTTCAGCATCAGAGATTCTTTCTTCTACCTCTTGTATTCTGTTGGTTATACTTGTCTCTGTAGTTTCTGTTTGTTTACCCAGATTTTCCATATCCTGCCATCTCTTGGTTTGTGTTTTCTTCATTGCCTCCATTCCAGTTTTCAAGTCGAACTGTTTCCATTACCTGTTTGATTGCTTTTTCTTGGTTTTCTTGGGTATCTTTGAGAGATTTATTTATTTCTTCTAACTTTTTGTTAGTCAGCTGACTGCTCAGGCACACACTCACCCCTCCACATGGATCTATGTTCTGGTACAGGCCAGGCAAGCTTTCTTCACAGATGATAGGGGAGCAGGGAAGCACATATCTTAGTTATAAGAGCCACCTTAGTGTTGGCAAGAGACTTGAACCTAGAGTGGCTCCCAGGAGCCCAAGGCGATGTCCCCAGTTAGTCCCTTGGGAAGCTGAGGATAGGGAACCTGAACTGACCCTATCCTATAGCAATACTGACGAATATCTTTCATATCACCATAGAACCTTCATCTGGTGATGGATGGAGATAGAGACAGAGACCCACACTGGAGCACTGGACTGAGCTCCCAAGGTCCCAATGAGAAGCAGATGGAGGGAGAACACGAGCAAGGATGTCAGGACCACGGGGGGTGCACCCACCCACTGAGACAGTGGGGCTGATCTATTGGGAGCTCACCAAAGCCAGCTGGACTGTGACTGAAACAGCATGGGATAAAACCGGACTCTCTCATCATGGCGAACAATGAGGACTGATGAGAAGCCAAGGTCAATGGCAAGGGGTTTTGATCCTACTTCATGTTCTGGCTTGATGGGAGCCTAGCCAGTTTGGATGTTCACCTTCCTAGACATGGACGGAGGGGGGAGGACCTTGGACTTTCCACGGGGCAGGGAACCAGGACTGCTCTTTGGATAGGAGAGGGAGGGGGAGAGGAGTGGGGGGAGGGGGAGAAGAGTAGGGAGAGGGGGAGGGAAATGGGAGGCTGGGAGGAGGCGGAAACTTTTTTTTTCTTATTCTCAATAAAAAAAAAACACAGATGAACTATCACTACATAGTCATGTCACTGCTCCACCAGTAGGCAGATCGAGTCTCTCCAACAGGTATTATAGTACATAGTCTTCACAGATTGTAGGATTGTTGTTGACTTTTCTCCCATAGCAGTTTACACAACACATTCTGGATTATGAGACTAGTGAAAATAGGAAAATTCCAGCTCATTTTAAGCTTGATTTCTTAATGTTCTACAATGAAAGTTCATGATATCTTCATTAATTGGGTCCTATTATTTGACGAGAAATTAAAATTGATGAAATACCTTGTTTCATTTTGGTGGGTGCTTCTGGGTTCCC